TTTCTTACAATCCAATGAAACAAAGCAGCAAATTACAAGTACATGCAAATGAATATACTGACAGAAGTTATCACAGACAGCTCCATTTAATTGATCAAAATTGTGAGCATATTATGGCGTAACAGGGAACACTCTCACAGAGCGTAGTGAAAGAACAAAATGCAGTGAAAGTATCTCTCTCTCTCAAGACGATCCTATAAGCTCATCAATCTTCGATCGCAGTGGTTCCAATTCCCTTGGAGGAATCAACTGGAATTGTCTGGCAAAGAGTATAAACTGTTTGAAAGACGTATTGAGATGAGGAGTTGCGTTGAGTTCACTGAAACGCGCAGCATGACAGGCGTACACATGTGCATACACCCGGAAAAGGCGCCGCATTATTCCTTCACACACCTCGACGAAGTTTCGAGGGAAAGCTCTACCTGGAACATTTAGATCATGTTATCCCAAATTATTTGTCATTTTAAGCTCTTGCCTGCTCTCACCGATTTGGGATGGGAACACACATTCATCGTCAAGTTGATCTTGCACCCACGTCATTACGTAATCGATGTAAACGGAAGCCGAGCAAGGGATTCTAAAATCATCATCTCAGCACCTCATTGCCAAACCTCTCCAAAAAGTATGACAGACGGCATAGAAAGTCCAAGCGATTGCAAAAAGGGGTTAAAATCTTCAATTTTAAAAAACGATTCCATTAAAAAGGAGATTATAACGGGCGCTGTAACTCACATTCTGTCATTTTCAGTCCAGAAATACTCGTGCGTAACTCCGGCTGTCATTTGAGGACAGCTTTCATTAGTGCAATGATCCATTATCGTTCCATACAACATCCGCACTTGATTAAACAGATCCATAACTGCAAAAAATGGACTCTATGTAACTTCTGACCATAATCATAAATAGTGAAGCCACCTCCTTCAAAAGTTTACGTGATTATTTCTCCCCGCTTATCCCTCTGCATTTTTTGTTGAATTTTTGACCAAGCTAAGAACATATTCTGAAAGCCTTATCATTGCAATCTCTTTCATCGTTTATTTTCTATCCTCCTGTTCGGTGAAGTTTTCCACTGCGAATGGAATGCTAGATAGACGAGAAGCGTCATTTTCGCCGCCTACTATTGTTTGCTTCAACCTGACTATCGGCAGATACTTCAACTTCCATTATAATCTCCACACTTTGCACTTAACGAATTCCTGTTTCCCAATAAATCTTTATCTCTCAAGTACGTCCACCAATATTGTTTCTCAAATCAGCGACCCCCTTAAAAGCAGTGCCTGGGCAAATAAGAGTTTCGAGTTCTCCCGCGATAGCCGACTCTTTGACTAAGCTATTTCGCCAAATTTGGACGAATAATTCGTCGTGGTAAGCGAGAAAATCGCTCCGGTGGTTAAAGTCAATCCAAAGAGGATCTGGAATTTCGTTTTCTTCTGACAATCACGATAGTTGTTATGCATGTTCAATACGCCAATGGAGGCAAGAAACCCGGAGTTAAAAATCCCAAAACTTCCTTTGCCAAACGGTTTCTAGCTGCGCAGTCTCCAGTCATTAAGCGCGTTAATCGGTGTGATCCTGCACACTATCCCCACCAACTTCTCTAATATTGCAGCAGTCATAGAAAGGCTGCTGGATCTCAACTCTCTTCGCTGACTTTTTCTTGTTTGCATCACTGATACTCTATCTTTGCATTACTTCGGGCACAATAAGCACAAGAGTCGCTATACCCGCAACAAGCCTTATGGGATTCTGGCTTAATGGTATCGACAATTTACCTAAAGATTATTATTTATTGGTGGAAGCTTAAATCCGCGATATTCTTCACAAACATGTTTCAAGAACGTTGAGGAATAATTTCTAGAAAAATTGCTAAAAAATCAAGCTTCAGGTTTAGTAGTGTCCTAGTCCCATAGGGCTGATTAGGCTTCTTGGCATACCTTCTCATAGTGATTATCCAGATAAGATGTTGGCACCAAGCAAAAATTTAATACAGTGTCAATCCTAATGTATGCAAGAGTTTCCCGCATTCGTGATGATTATTTAAAGTTATAATGACCTCAAAAATTGACCATCGAGATTCTTGACGCTAGGAGCTCTAATCAAGGAGTCATCCTCGTCTCACTCCTGCTAACCGAAACTGTGGATAGATGTTGCGGATATCACAGTTCAATAATAAGAGCTGCAATATTGTACGAAGCCAGACTTAATGGTAT